TCGCTGTCAAGGCGAGTGTCATAACCACTAGACCACGGAGGCTTCATGGTTGAACAGATTCAAATACCACCAGATACACTCTATTACACAATAGGTACGGCTAGAAACAAATAGGTGCATATAACATTCTTTGATGATTATATTACCTTTCTTTGATGATTTATATATGATTTAACAGTGTTAACGGCTACCTTGATTTCATTATCTTTATAGCTGGACCTCTAATGCATGCGTTCTGTTTGTGGCCAAGTTGATTATGTACGGCATCGTACAGGACGGCCATGTTTACAGTTTTTCATGTGATGATTTTGTTCGCCACAAAAGTAATACGCTGCCAGTTGTTTGTTTGTTCTTGGCGTTCCTGATTTCATATGTCGGTTGTAGATTCTGCGTTCCCTAGGGATTGTACTTTCCTGATGGTTTGAATATTTGTTTCGTATAATTGGGTGAATTCGATCACTGTTTTTTAGGAGTTTCTTAGTGCCATAGTTGCTGAGGTGAAGTCCGCTCATATTAAAGGATCCTTAGTCACAATCATTATTGCTTAGTTTAAATGTATCATCATTGTTGATTATTTGACAGTTATTATTTGTCGCTACTTCTTTTATGCTCATATTAAGTTTTTCTACATTCAGTTGGTAACCAGCGTTATCAGTTCTTGGGCACACTGTTGAGAGAATAACCTTTGTATTTGGTGCCTTTGTTTTCACTTCCTGGACCATTGCTTCGTACTCGTTGCTCGCTTCATCTACGATTACGTCATTGGTGGAACAATTGTTTGTACCTACATGTACAATAATAGTCGAGAAGTTTTCTGGACCCTGTTTAACAATGGACTCTCTTATATCTTTAATCATTCCACCACGGATGCAGGATACGCTTGTATTATTGAGCCCTCTTTCATTTATGTTTTTGATGATAGAATCACCAACGAGAAGGGTGCTGTTTGCCATTAATTCTGTGTCACTTTCTGTAACGTCTAGATGTGTTTCATTCTCTTGTTCCGTGTCCTCTGGATATATATTGTATAGAGAAGATAGGCTACATTATTTTTAAAGTTAAATACCTGCTATCTCAGGTTTTACTAATAATGTATTTTATTTTTTTGCTCTTAATGTAGAAAAAACTCCATTGTCAAAAAAATTGACAAGGCTAGCTGTACATACCTCCTGCTTTCCTGCTCAGTTTACAGAAGGCAATATTTTTATTAAATTTTTGAAACATATTTTGGTATTTTTGTAGATTTTGTAGTTTTTTTAATGTACTGTATTTATCTGTTCTTTTATCACGACTTTACTAGTTAAGGCCAGTATTTTGGCATCAACTAGGTAGTCATCAATTCCAACATTACTTACCTCTGCACAGGCATCAGTATTCGTACAAAATACAGAATCAGTGTCTGATTTTTTTTTTTTTTTTTTTTTTTCACATGTGTTCCATTTTGTTTCATATCTATATAACTTATATATTTATAGCTTCTTTGTTTTGTTACTTGGTAGTTTTTGGCATGATTATAATTGAAAAAAAACTTCTATGATAAGTATTTCAGTGGCAGATTCTGGGATGTCCAGTCAGACCACCCTCCCTAAATTGTTCAGAATTGTGGAGAATAAAGAAAATTATATTCCAATTTAAGTCTTTGTGTGCCATTCCCTGCTAACTAGAGGTGCCATAATCATAAATTTTCTTACCTCAGCCCCAACCATGGTGAAGCTGAGGTCGTCTACACTCCATCACTGAAATTCCCTCCCTGTGCTCTATTTCAAATTCCTGGATCCGCCACTGTATTTTGAAAATATGTTGTGGAATTAAAATGTTAATTGCATTCCTTAAAATCAATTAGATACGACTTAATAAAGGCTGTAAATTCCACAGGTTCTGGGGGCTTCACCCCTTCGACCCCACCGGGGACCTTGCTTGGCCCCCAGTCAAGGCTAAGCCCTATGGCTAAAGACATCATTCATATTTTGCAATTCGTCCTCCCCAATTTCAACCACAGATCGACACCCTTGCCCATATATGGGCATATCGCACAAATTTGTCACCTAAAATTTGATAGTGTGATAGAGCTTTAGAGAAGAATACATGAATCCTTTTTTAAAATGAATCATCAGGCCTCTATAAATATTTTATGAAGCAATATACCTATTTTTTTTTTTCTCCACAGCTTTCTTGCCTACAGTTTCAACAAGCAATGTTTATAAAACATATAATGTATTTTTACGGGGTGTTAGATATAATTTCATTTTTAACGCATGCAAAATTGTCAATTAGTCACATTATATCCTAATATAATGTGTCAAAATCATGACTTGTCACTGTTTGCTTTTCCTGTTTTTACTAAAATGAAACCAAAATATATATGTGAACAGTCAAACTGTACTTACAGCAGCGACTTAGCTATAGTTTAACCTTACAGGTTTTTTTATTTGGCCGCTGGCAAGCTTGGGCCCCTTGGGATTCCGACCCACAAGCAACACCTGCTTTGGAATTGACAAATATGAAAACAAGTTGATCCAACCGGCTGTCTGTGAAGACACCTTTAACATCTGAGCCAGTTGGTATTGGAATCCGATTGGAAGTAACTGATTTTTACTATTTTTCATAAAATGAATAATGTTGAAAGAAATGAAACATGAATACACACAGGTGCGCTAATTGGTCAAAAATAAAATAAAATTTTATTTGAAATCATCAATATTTGCAGGTGGCGGGTTCGCTAAACAAGATATAAAAAAAAGTCTTGCCTTAATAGCCAAAAAAATGAAATACATTGTTAGTTAACTTGACAAAGCAGATAACTGTTGCTATTGTTTCCTGAATATGCTCTGTCTCTTATACACATCTAGATGTGTATAAGAGACATGGTGAGGTGCAAGGGGTCAGTATCTGTATTCCACCAATGTTTTTTATGTTCATTTTCTCCTCCGTCTAAATGTTATTGGCAAAACAATTTGCTAAATAAGAAAACAAAATTTATTTTTATTTTTATTACTTCCTCCTCCAATGATCTTTAAAAAAGTAAGTGCGGTAAACAAGGAATAAAAAAAGTCTCGCCTAATGAAGAAAAAAATCGAACAAGGTTGCACACAGGCCTACCTGCTTCCCTGCACAGTTTACAGAAGGCAATATCTTCCTTTTTTCCCCTTTTTTTATAGTTTTTTTTAATAGATATTTTAGTTTTTGTTTTATGTATTCATTTGTTCTTCTATCGACGACTTTACTTTACCAGTATTTTGGCATCACATAGTACTGTAGTTCCAACATTATTTATCTCTTAGACAGACATCATTATTCATACAAAATATAGAATCAGTGTCAGTTTTCTATTTTATATATTTATTTTTTGTGTGTCCCATTTTCTTTCTTATCTACAACATATTTATGTTTTTTGTGTTGTTACCATTTTATTTTAATTTTTTTTTACATATCTGATTTTTTTTTCACATATCTGATTTTTTTCCCCGTATATTAAAAAGGAGGGTCGAATAGTGAGCGAAACGTATATTTGTTATTCTTGCTAACCCACTGGCTGAGTTACTGCACACTAGCGGCCACAGTAGATTTATTACCAGACTTCTTAGCTTTGTAATCCTTCAACACAATCGCAGCCTCGTCAATCTAAAAAAAAAAAGGAAAGCATTTAAGTCATTTAAACAACAAACACATCTATGGGCGCTTTGTATTCTGCCAAATTTCAAACCAAACACCGGTTACAAATTCACCAACACAGAACACAGTAAAAGTCACGATAGCTCTATTCATTTTTGATGTACAAAACTAAATCACATAATTACCATTGCGCTCAATGAGTCTCGGGATTCCAACATGTGAAGCAAATCAATGTTGTCTAATTCCAACAACATTCCAGTGATTTTACCGGCTAGCTCTTCGTGGCTAAGCTCAATGATTCTGTATAAACGCTCACCAATCATCCGCTTCCGCTCCTTGGGGGTGGCCTGTGCCAGGTTGGATATGGTCAGTGGCTCATGACCAGGAACTTGTTGGTGCATTGGTTGTGGCTTGGACTCCCAGCCTTGAGGTCTCCACCCAGGAGTATAACGGGGCGACATCTGATTCTGCAAGAGTTATTAAGTAATTACATACTAACGGTGGAGAAGTCATGCACATACTAACGGTGGCGAAGTCAGGTTCAAACACAACCATGTGCTGATTACAGCTGCAACATTATGGAATTCCCCCATAGGGCCTAAGTGTGTGTTCCATATGTGCTTGATCCAGTGACCAGGGGTAATAATGAAAGCACATAGAGGTCTCTACAATATGCGCTACATAAGTCGACAATTATTGCAATTATAACTTCAAAAGCCTGTTGTAGAACATGCCGATTAAAATGACAAAATACCATGTATCACTGTGGATCATTACATTATTTTTTCCATCACTAACAAACAATATTTATAAGGTAAATTGAAATTTCAGACCTTTGAATTGAACATTAAATTTGTAAATTTTTGTTTTGGAAGAGAATACAAAACGTTCTACAAATCTTAATTAGATTTTCTTACCGTTATTTTCTTTGAGTTTTCTAGTCTTGTGATTGATGTACAGTATATGCAATTTATAAGAAAAACTGGTGCATGATGGTAATTTTTTTTAATAGTTTATAAAAGAATGGTTCATTAAACATTTTACAATTCAGGTAAACTTGTTATTGTCTGTATGCCTTACCACAGTCATTCCAGCAGACTGACTAACAACACTCTGATTGCCAGCATTAGCATAATTCACGTGGTGTTGTAGAGATACAGGTGGTATAGGTTGGAAGGGTTGTACAGGTGAAGGAATTGTTCCTTGTGCGGGAGGTATAAAGCTAGCATGCTGATGCCCGATCACTTTGATTAGAAAAGAAAATTCACAATTAGTACAGGGATGCATTTGGCCTATAATACTTTTTAAAAAAAAAACCTCATTGGTGAGGTAAAATTTCACATGAGGTTTTTCTTCACAACGTTAAACAGTTTGTCTCCTATACTCTACCCTCACATTTTATCTCTTACAGAATGAGGTATTAGTTAGTACAGAGTTATGCGATGTCGATAACGTCCAAATACTTGATGTCATTTTTGTACCGTAAAAAAGATAGGACCTCCAGGTGATCTGCCAGCTAGCCTAGGCCGTAAGCCAGCTAACCATGAGGTAGGTCTACGATTTTATGGCAATGACGATCTACTGTACTCGAACGAATAAGCGCCCCGTATGAATAAGAGCTATTCTCGAATAAGTGCCCTTCAAATGGTGAAAATGTTCTTAAGCGCCAGCTTGAATACCGTAAGTGCCCCTGCTAATTTGAATAAGCGCCCCCTCGATGTTTATTCATTTTTTAAAACAACATTTTCTTTTTCTTAGCGAGCCTATAATCCAATCAATCCTGGGACTGTGGTTGGCGTGATTTGAGCTGTGGAGTGGATTCACCCTTATATTCTTAATGTCAATTTCTAAATGAAGATATTTTCTCCTGGACAGATGAGAGGTTCCTGGGTAGTATCTTTCCACCTTTAGCATGTTTTCATTTGAGTTTACAAGAAAGCCCTGCAATGATCCTGCTAATCTCAATCGGCAGATGGCCATTAAGCTTATACACCACAACCACCACCACAACTAATTTATCAAAATAATCTGTCTTAGATTTTCTTCATTTTTTTACGTCTGTATATGCACTTTTGTTTTGTGTTTATCTTGTCATTCTGTTCAACAAAAATATTCTCTTTGATTACAATCCATGTTTAAATTATAAATACACTGTATAGAAAAATAACTTTATACATTTAAATGAGGATTTGACAATGAACATGTTTTAAGTAAATAAATTACATGGAAATGGGCGTACTGTAAGTAACAAGAGAGAATAATAATAATACTGTATATTATTAAAATTAAGCAAATTAAAAACATGAAATATAACAAACGTGGTCTTTGCTGGTAAGCACTGGTCCACCTTGGGTTTGTGATTTGGGTTGGGTAGATGGGTCTTTGTTGTGGTGGCATGGCTTGAGTAAAGTTCCCAAACCCTGGGTTGAACACCTGGTTTATCTGTTCCGTATTGCCCTAAAATAAAAGAAGTGGGTAAATCATCAAAAATTTTACACTGTATTTGTACAAAATGGGTTTGATCTACAAAAACAATCTTTATTAGTAACATGCATTAATTTATATGCAACATTTTTGTCAGAATTCTTTTACACTTTTGATATTAAAAAGCTAACAGGTTTACTGTATCATCCATTATCAAAGGATATTATGTACTGTGAGAATATATTATTAGTAGAAATTTTATATTATGCTACTTTTTTTAGTGAATAAACAGCATCTTGAGAAGTTTTAATATGAATATTTAATTATACCAGAGCAAAATTTAAAATGATACAATTAAAGTCTTACAGGAAAGTACTATCGAAAAACAGGGAGCGTCACAACATACAATTTTTAAAATCATTTGTCTTATGTGCTGATCATCCGTTACAGGCGAATGTATACTACTGCAATAAAGCTGCTAATACTACATGTTATGTTAGTAGGAAATATGAATGAATGCAATTTTAAATACAGGAAATAAGATTTTGATGAAATATAAAGACTCATAAAATGGTATTACAATATTTGGAAGATTAGCCTTGCATTTCGTTCCATTTCTAAGCTAATGCAGTATCAAAAGTATAATTCCAACCACAAGAGACGTTTCATACGGCCCGACATACAAAAATGGCCCAAAAAGCTTATCAAACTTGAGTAATATATCAATGTACCATTAAGATTACGATCAATGGAAACTGAAAAAATATTGATCTGAATCTTTATTCCAGTCTGTCCCGGTCCCTGGCTGGGTCACGTCATGCGATCGCGAAACACTGTGTTGGTTGTTTTTCTATTAAAAACTATAGTCAAATTTTGGTAAAAAATATTGTCATGTTTTAAGTAATAATACATGGACACGTACCTACAGTAAACCTACCTTTAGTCAAATAAAGTGTAAATGTTATGTTTACTTTGCAGTATGCTGTTCAGATTTTTTTTCAGTTCGTTTTAAACAGATTCAAGTTGGTCAAAAAAAATTAAAAAGCAAACAACAGTTTCTTTAAAATAAATAAATGGTTGTCCCTTGTTGTCTTTTGGAGACCACTTTTATCTTCGGTCTTCATTTAGAGGTTTCAGGTTCGGTTACCCTCCAATTATGCTGCTTGGAGACCACTTCAAGTCTGTGGTCTCTATTTAGAGGTTTCTAATTTGAGACCAAACCCCGAGACCACCGCAAATTCAGATACACAGAGTGGTCTCAAATTGGAGGGTGGACTGTTACAATCACACATTTATGTCTACTCAGAGGCGTAGCTAGGTGTGAAAGAGCCCCAGTGCAAGATTAATTACTGGGCCCTTTGATGTTATAGAGGGATTCCCTAAAGTTCTCAGAAAGAAAATTGCTTCCTTTACACACCCCCCAAAGGCCTGGTTAGTAATAAATAATCAGATTTGTAAAATATTTTAAGAATGGCAAATTTGCTCTCAGCAGGTGTTGCAAACTAATAGGAAAATTGATAACATGCGTAAAATTTAACAATTGAATTGGCGGAGCAGGGAATTGGAAATAGAGGGGCAGGGAGAGATTTTTACAGGTGAAGAATGGTACACCAACTCTACATGGTTGGGGCTGAAGGAAGTAAAAATTGTTTAAAGGCACTTCTAGATGGCTGGAAATGGCACTCTCGGACTTATATTATAATAAATATAATTTCATTTTTCCCCCATTTTTTTTATAGTTAAAAAAAATAGGGAGTCTGGCCGGCTGGAACCACCTTGAATACACCACTTAATTGAAATCAACACAGTAATCAAAATTACTGCTCAAAAAAACCAAATATTGTGGATGGACCTGCTGGCCTTTTTCTTCAAAATTAAGTTGAAAATTATTTTTTTATTATATTTAAGTCTATTTATGAATGGGCAAATAATATCCTGGGCCTAGTGCTTTGCACTACTCGACTATAGCTAAGCCACTGTGTCTTTCTCAAATTTACTGTATAGTCGGAGGCAGCTGGCGTATCTAGAAGTCTCAAAATGGGGGTGCTGATGGGGATGCGAAGGTGAAGTGGGGGATTAGATGATAAGTTTAGGGGTGATAATTCGCAAAATGAGGTGATTTTTAACTACTTGACTGTGATTTATTTTGGGAGTGGGAGGATGCAAGTAATTTTTGGAGGGCTGTGTGCTCCCCCTCACACCCCCTAGATACGCCACTGCTTGCAGTACACAGTAACGTTGGAGATGATGTTTTCAAAGGTTGAAGCAGGCAGACTTGTCATTGAGCCCATGGCCAATCATTTCACCGACAGACATTTGGCCGAGAGGCTATACACCATTCGCCGACACCACATTTATCTCAATGCCAGTTTGCCGATACGACGTTTCGCAGACAGCCAATTTGCCAGCAGACAATTCGCCGGCAGACAATTCGCCGACATTTTTTTTTTAACATGTTAATAGATGGATGTGTCACAAGTGATATATTTAGTTGTTTATTTTTATTCTGTTATTCAATTGTAAAAATCTTTCTCTGGGTTTAATGCTAAGTCACTATTTAAAAAACAAAAATTTGCATCGAAATATTTGAAATTCTACACTGTGCTTCATTAAGGCATGCTTTTGTCAGTATACTGTACATGTCGCTAATATTTATGTTTTTATTTGTGTACTACTCCACCTAGAGACTTCATTGCCTAAAATCAGAACAAAACCAAAACCTATTCAGACATGCGCATATAGGTACCAAGTACCAAGAGACAGACTTAAATTAAAGGTCATAGTTTCAAAAACCACATTAGAAAATGACCCAAAATATACACAACTATTAAGATATAGTACCACCCCTTCTTCAAGTAACATCACCAATTTTGCAAAACTCTGAAGAGAGGCAGTAGAGCTTCTTGATACTTGTAGAAGTAAAGGTCTGCTATTAAGCATGCATTTTAATTTTATTTAGTACTTAAAAATGTTTCTGAGCAGTTACATAAAAAAGCTGTAGTTTCCTTACTTACTGCCAAGCCCTTTGGATATATTATATTTTTAGCATTCCTATAACCAAAAGAACAGACTTCTTGAAATTTATGATTACAAATAAAAACACATTTTCCTTACAATTCATTGTACAATGTGGGACTTTCAGCCATTTGATACATTCTATGAATGCATGTTCCTTGTAATCTGAATTGTTACCAATGGTATTACAAGTTTCAACAATTTTACCTTAAACTTCACTGGTGATCCTCTGCCATGTGCCTTTCCAACAGTAATCTTTGTTTCCCAATCACCTTCTGTAGACGTATTACATCTACCTGTTATTTTGTACTCTCCATTTCCCTGATATTCTACATTAGTCGCTGATTTTTTACCTGATGAGTTAATTAGAATTACTGGTAATTGACAATCATCACTCCCTGTTGGACTTAAAACTTTCACTACAAATGGTTGTTCTTTTGTACCAGTAATTTCTTCATCATCTTTAGCTGCCTGGCATGTGCTATCAACAGTTGTGATGATACCAATGCCCTCTGCAACCATCAAGTCATCCAGTTGTGTAGTTGGAATGAAATTTGGTGTATTTTTTTGGTTTTTAAATGGTTGATCAAAATCTTTTCCTAGGACCTTGTCTCTGACAGCATTAATAGTTGTGCTATGTAATTGAAGAGTTTCTGTTTCTTCAGGTTTGTTCATAATTGTATTGACTGAGGTTATTACATCAATTATTTGAGTCATTTTGGAATCAATATCTTGAACTTTACTATCAGTGTCTTCTTTTTTCTCTTTGTACATCTCTACAAGGTGTGACATTAATTCTTTTCTTTTCTCTGTAACTGTTTTAATAAGTTTCTTTTCCTGAATTTCGATGGCTGTTCTGCATAATTTCAGTTGTAAATCAAACTCTGAGCTATCTTTAATTACAAATTCTAGTTTTTCTGATAATTTATTTTCAATTTCATGTGCTAACTTGACAATTTCAGTGGCATTGTTGTTAAACTCACTTATAGCAGTTGACATTGGAATCACTTTGTGTTGTTTTTGATAACAATGAAGAAAATGTTGACATGCTTTGTTGCAAGTGGAGCAGAAAAACTTGAGTGCGGTGTAGCAAACTTCGGATCTGGTATGTTCATCTGAACTGCCGTCTTGTTCCTTTTTGTCTAGGATGTAAAGTGAATGGTTCCTCAATGCAGGTATTATCTGGTGTTGTTTGATACATAGACCTTCACATAGATATAGTTGACATGTCTGGCAGTGGTATACAGGTTGATTAATATCACAGCAAGAACATTTAGTTGGTTTTTGATCCTCAGTTTTTGTAACATACTCTAGTAGTTGACTTATCGTTGTATTTGAAGCAAGGTCTTTTAAATCATCTTTTGTTAGGTCATGTTCTTGTGCACATGTGGGGCATTTCATCTTTCCATGAGTTTCTCCCCATTTCTGGATACACTGTAGACAATAGGTGTGCATGCATTTCAGTGTCTTTGGTTGGTGAAACCTGTTGAGGCAGATGGCACACTCAACATCCATTTTATCTATAAACTGCAGTGGTTTGGATAGAGACCGAGACATCTGTAGGGAAAAAACATAGATAGTTAATATTGCTTTCCTTTTAAAATATGTATGAATATTAATAGTTAGTATTGCTTTCTTTTATACATAGCCTGTATAATAGTATTTTCTAAAATAATGGATCAATAGTCTTTTAATTGTTACTGTACCCTTGTTAAGTTCTCAAGAATTTACAGTGCTTTTAATCAAAAATCATTTGTTTTCCCTAATGGTTAAAATGTTCTTATGGAGGTCCTAATGTCGCACAAGTGTATTAATTGATTTTGTTTTTAAAATTACAGTATATCTGGTTAGACATTGGTACAGTGATGTGATAAATTGAATTAAACAGTATCATTTGGTATTTAAGAGCATTATGTGAAATACAATTTTTTTTAAATCCGAAAATAATCAAGGCAGTCTGCTTAGTTACTCCAAACCATTAGCAAAAAAAAACAAAACAAACAAACAAAACAAAACAAAAAAAAATGATGTGAGGTTGATGTTTACAAGGGTAGCCCATAAAAGTCATTTTAGACCAACTGATTTCTAACAGGATTCTTTACTTACACAAATTGTTCAAAATCTTTTGAGAAAGACCACTAATATTTTTAATGTTAACAGTGAAAATATGGATAGATTTAAAAGTTAAATAATTACACATCAATTTTTTAAATCTTAAAAGGAGAACCTAAGAACATTATTTTAATCTTTAATCGAACCTTACAAAGATTATCGATTTAAAATAATCAATATAAAAAAAATAAACAAATTAAGATTGTCTGAACAATACAATTAATTATGGAAATTTTACATTTCGTGATGTTCAGTACCTATACTTCTATAATGTCAAGTTCTTACCTTGATTTAAATTTTCACACTTCTGACTATTTAATAGCTGTTGATACTAGCAGGATGACTGGTTGGGTGTTTTCTGGAATTACAGAAGGTAGCTGTGAATTAAGTTATTATTGAAATGTTGATTAAATTGTGTCAAGATGTATGGTAGGCTTACAAAGTCTAAAGCAAGACACACAATATGTAATGGTTTTTTTGTTTGTTTTTTTTTCTTATCACAGATAACATCTGTAATGTGTGCATAAATTGAATTCTGAGGCAAAATTAAAATACAAATAATGAAAATCTAGCTGCTACTGACACTGAATTGGTTCTTTTTTATTTTAGTTAAGTTTCTGTATATTTTTTTATGTTTGTTTTTGTTCTACTTTTTTTTGTTCATCCACTAGTGAGATCAGTGCTGCGTCACTGAAAGTGTTATCACCTTAAAGGCAGAATAAATAAATAAATAATGATATGAAATCATCAAGTAACAAGTGAATATAAGATTTTTGAAATTACAATATTACAGACATTCCGACCCCCAAACGTCCAAAAGCGGGACACATTGACCCTGAAAGTGGGACTTTTTGTTCAAAAGCGGGACAAAACGGATTGACAT